GGCCCAGGCTGACCCAGTGGCAGCAGAGAAACGGGAGGAGCCGACAGGGGAGGAGGGGTGTGGGGGAGGAGTGGGCCTGCGGTGGGGAAGAGGCTTGCTCCTCCCCTCCCCCAGCTGCAGCTGCTGCCGGGCCTGCTGCTCCCCCCACCGCCGCGGCAGGCCGCCTCCTCCCCTCCTCGGTCCCAGGCCCAATCCTCCCCCACGGCTCTGAGCCCACTCCTCCCGTTCCCCTGCCACTGCCAGGTCAGCCTGGGCCTGCTGCTCTCCTCACAGTAGCAGCGGCGGGCTGGCTTGTGCCCACCCTCAGGCCAGTCCTACCCCACATCAAGCCAGGACCCACTTCTCCCCTCCTGCCACCGCTGCAGGGGGGAGCGGGCCTGGACCTCATGCAGCCGGAGGAAAGGAGGAGTGGGCCTGGACGGTGGGGCACAGGGCTCCCTCCCTGCATGCTCCATCCCCGTCATTCCTGGCGGGCAATTGGCTAGTAGTACTGTGAAAGACATTTCATTCTATTATGTGAGTATTTGAACAATGTAAGATCTATGGCTGACTTAACAATCAGTTTCCTCACTTTTAAATGCTAGGGTTATATGATATATAAGCTCATCGAGTACCTGTGCAGGGAGGCTGCTCTGATGCCTTGTAATTACAGCATGTCAGAGCAGACTCAATTAAGTCCTGCTGCAGTGTGATATTTAGTGTGCTCCTGCAGCCTCTGTGTCTTGTGAGTTCAGCATCCACATGCTTCAAAATGGTGGTGGGGGCACTTTAACTAAAATTCGTTCAACAAGCTTTAGTTAAAGCATCCCCCCTGCCGTTTTGAAGTGCGGGATGCTGAATACACAAGATGCTGTGGACACTTTAATTGGAGCAGCTCTTGGAGCCACTCTAGTTAAAGCGTCCCTGCCCCCTCAGCCTCCAGAGCACATGCAAAGACACCTATTGATGTTTTGTAAATCTTACCCTGAGTGGCTTAAGCCCCATTTTCAAAATCAATTTTGAAAACTTCAGCACCAAGTCACATTGCTTCAAAGATCTGCTGAAGTGGCTGTGTTCCATGTTAGAATTGTTGTCTGCTTACCCAGAAAATCTGTTTCACAATTATCTGTTTGTGCACCTTGCATTTCATTAACAATTAGCTCAAAAAACCAGCAGCTAGTGCATATTGGGAAGAATACCATGTCCTTCTGCAGACAGAACACAATGCAGAACCAGGGGATTTGGAGCAGTGGAAACTTCCATTGCTCCATCTCATTGTAGCCATAAGTCTGTAATAACAGTTAAGTTTGTAAAAAAAAACAAAAAACAAAAAACAAAAAAAAAAAACCAACTTGCTTAGTAAAACTGCTGGACTCTTAAGGCCCTAGTTGCATCCCAAAAGGTCTCCCTTAGAGAGGAATCACTTCCAGGAACAGAACTGAGGAAGTGTCTTGTTAGTCTTCTGTGGCAGCATTAGGGAGTTGAAGAATATCCTGTCAAAAGATTGGGTCCTTCCAAAAAGTGGCTGCTCTGGGTTAACGGTAGGTATTTGCAGTTTGAAATGTTTGTCCTGTTAGACTGTTTGTGGCAGTTCTCTTCAAGGAAAGGCAGGAGACCACCCCGTTCCCCTGAAACCTTCCGTCCTCTTCCTCTGACTCCTTGTGAGAACAGTTGATGGGAGAGGCCTATTTCAGAGATGTGAGGACAGCCCAGCTTTAACTACATATAAAGCTTGTCTTGCTTCTGGCCTCCCATCCCTTGGCCCTACACAGCAGTTTCCAGCATGTCCTTGTACTTGCATATGCTCAGGACATTGTCACCAGGGTTCAGTCTAGCAGTGGGATCCATAGTGGCTTCTGCAGTGTGTCTGGGAAGGGGAAGAAGACTGCATCTATCAGGTTGGTGGGGTGTGTCCATTTCCCACCTCCCCTCTATGAACATATCTCTTACATAAGTATACATGTGTCGCTGAACCCAGTGACATTACATAAAGTCTCCTGCTAAGGGCGCTGGGGCTGAGGCACCAGTGCGGGCTGGAATCTAATTAATATATCTAAGGTTCTTGTTTGCAGTGCAGCCCCATGTGGTGCCTCTGGGACAGTGATGAAGCTAAGCTGTATGAGAAGGAAACAACAATTCCTCAGCCTCCTACCTACAGCCCCTTTTATATTGATCCATTGCAAATGTGGCTGACTGCACCTTGAAATGCTTCCTCTGTGGTGGCCTCTGCTTGTAGTGTCTGTAGTACAGCATGTACAGCCACTGATTTCGCTGGAAGAATTAGATGGCAGCACCTTGGCTCAGATTGGTGCTGTGATTGGGGTACAAAAAATGCTGATGCATCAGAAGAGAGCTGTGGACTGGTGGGCTGTTTGGCGCTTGGGCTTCTGCCAGCTGGTCCCTGGGTGGCAAAAGGCAGTGCTCTGTGTTCAGTTGGCATGTGTTGTTCTCTCTAGGTACATCCACCGCCCATGCCTGCAAGTGGTTGAGGCCATGTTGGTGGCAGCAGTGACAGCAGCTGTGGGATTTGTGATGATTTACTGCTCCAGGGACTGCCAGCCCCTCCAAGGAAATGCTGTGGCCTATCCCCTTCAGGTAGGAGACTAGGCTGTAACATGGCCTCAACGGTGAGGATGGCTTCTGTTCAGAAACATCTTTGAATACTGTGTTATACAGCTTGGCAAGGTGATCCCAGGGCTTCTTGGGATCAGGCCAGGGCAGGGTGGTCTTAATAACTTTCCTGCTCCTAAAGAGAAGTGGTAACTGAACTTGGAGCCTAGAAAGGCAGGGGTGGGGTCCAGAGTACAGAGAGGTGAGGGTAATTTTTTTGATGGGCAACCAACAAGGCAGAGATGTGTATCTGGTCCTAGAACGGTGGTTCTCAACCTTCTTAGACTCCAGGCACCCTTCCAGAACTTCCTTTAATTTGACAGCATCCCCAGCTGAGAATCACTGCTGTCCTGTCTCTCCTTATTACAGTTGTTCTCAACCAAGTGGTGCCACCAATGCTGTCAGGTGGAACTGCTGTGTGCAGCTTGTGCACAGCCAGGTAAGCCTAATGTAGGCAAGAGCATCTGCTTTTGCTGCAGCCCTTCTTGGTCTGACCCCCCTGGCACCTCCTGGAAATGGAGATGCACAGGGTAGTTGGAACTTCCTGCGAGCCTCTGTTTCTGGGAGAAGTGTGCAGGAGCAGACTGGGAAGGGCTGTGGCAAAAGTGGATGCTCCTCCCTGCATTAGGTTTATCTAGCTGTGTACAAGGTGTGCCAGGGCAGTCACTCAGTTGAAAACCACTGTCCTAGAGGAGGGATCAGCAACCTAAGGCCTGTGAGCTGGATCAGGACCATGAAGAGACTGGATCCAACTGCCCTAGCTTGGGAAATTTTGTAGCAGGCTTCAGCCAAAGCAGCAGAGGAGACTTCCCCTGGGTCCTACTGCCTGCTGTTCACTTTGTCATTTGCTGCTGTGCAGGCAGCACAGGCACTGTGTCTCAGTTCCTACCACTTGCCTTGTTCCAGTTCTGTACGCCCCATTTCAAGAGGGATGTGGACAACATCGAGAGGGTCCAGAGGAGGGCCACCCGCATGATCCGGGGACAACAGGGCAGACCCTACAGTGAGAGACTGCGGGACCTGAACCTATTCAGCCTCCACAAGAGAAGGCTGAGGGGGGACCTGGTGACCGTCTATAAACTCACTAGGGGGGACCAGAAGGGTTTGGGGGAGACGCTGTTTCCCCTAGCGCCCGCTGGCATAACAAGGAGTAATGGGCACAAGTTGATGGAGAGGAGGTATAGATTGGACATCCGCAAAAACTACTTCACAGTTAGGGCGGCTAGGAGCTGGAACCAACTTCCAAGGGAAGTGGTGCTGGCCCCTACCCTGGGGGTCTTTAAGAAGAGGCTGGATGCCTACCTGGCTGGACTCATTTGAGTCCCGTTTCTTGTTTTGGGGTTTTGTTGTTCTCCCGCCCTGGCGGGGGGTCAGGCTAGAAGATCTACTAGGTCCCTTCTGACCCTAAATCTATGAAACTATATTCCCTATGCAGCATCTGCTGATTTCTGGGTCAGATGCAGAGATTTGCAGCCTTCGGCAGGGGCTGGGTAGCAAGCATTGTCCTATGGTAGCAAAAAGATTGCCAACCCCTGTTCTAGAGGAACTGGCTTCAAACCTGATACTGGGAGCTTAGGCATTTCTATTGTAGCCAGTCCCTTCTCACTGGTAGGACTGTGGGCAAGCACTAAAGTGTATGCTGAATGAGGCAAGGCTCTACTGGGGTTTGTGTTTCGCTGAGTACAGTGTTCAGTAGGGGTCCAACCAAGGACTTCTGGGTTATGGGATTCATGCAGAAAAGCAGATCACTTCATTCATATTCTGTTAATAGAACTCACAGCATCCAACTCAAAAGCTTGGAAATTGGGGAATGGCAAAGGAGAGGTCACCAGTACCACCTTCCTTATCATGGGTGCAGATTATGAAGCATGGCAGTTGGCAGTTCAATGGCTGTCTAGTTGCAGTAATGCAGGGTTTTAGCAATGTACCTGAATGTGCAGTAGGGCTGAATAAAGGCTGTGTTTGTGAGCAGGGTTATAACCAGGGATCTGAGTTTTCCATTTCCCATGGAAAAATAGAGAAAACCATGGATTTCCCAGTTTCATCGGAGAAAACCATGGATTTTCACTTTTAGCAGGGAAACCTGCAGATTTCCCCCTTTTGCAAAGAGCTCTGCAGGCTGGCTGAGTCCTAGCTTGCAAGAGTTGTTTGCAAAAGGGGCAGGAAACCCCCAACCCTGCCTGGAAGGGAAGGGAGAGGGGGAAAGGGCAGGACCTGATGCCAAAGGCTGCCTCAGGATACCTCTAGGAGTGAAGAGTGAAGTGGGGCTTGAGGGTTGTGGGGCAGGGCTGGCAGGGAAGCTGGCTGGGGGCTGAGGGAGCAAGGATGTGTTGGGGGAAGACATGGGGTGCCTGCCAGCTGGCAGACACTCCTGGTAGGAGTTTCCCCAACACCTTCTGCTCCCTCAGCCTGAGCAGGTGGGGAGAGGGGGAGGGGAACAGAGTGCACCCCAGGGCGCCGTGGTGGAGGGGTGCTGCCAGCCCCTCAGCTCAGCTCATTCTGTGTTGCGTGAGCAGGGCCGGGGGGTGAGGGCAGCAATGTCCCTCTGCGGGCCACGCACACCCACCCGGCCAGGGGGAGGGGTGGGTCGCATGCGGTGGCTGCCACCACACCTTGCACAGTTTGCCCGCAGCCAGTGGTGGGAAAGCTGCACGGTATGTGGTACAGTGCTGGCTGCCACATGTGAGCCTCCCCCTCCCCGCCAGCCAGGCAGGCATGTGTGTCCCAGTGCAGTGAGCCGCACCTTCCCCCAGCTGGACAGCACTTGTGTGGTCTGCAGAGGGGCACCACTGCCGTGGCACCTCCCCCCTGCTGTGTC